ATCTCGACTTGAGATTTCTCAAAAGAAGAGACAACAGAAACTATCTGTTGTTCTAAAAGGCGCGAGATTTTACAACAGTAAAATCTCCCCTCTCTCTCTCTCCTCAATAAATCGCTACAGGAAACACGAGATTTTTCCTCTGAAAAATTCTCCGTTAAAGCTCTGCTTTTGTGGCCGCCGCCAGAATAATTTAGATGAGAAGAAGAGAAAACGGGTATCTTTCTCTCGTGCACAGGATTCCCTTAAATAGGGAAACCCTAAGGCTGAAAGGGGAGTGGGATCCAGCTGGATCCAACGCAACGAGCAAGCGAGCTCTCTCTCTCCGTAGCAGGCGAATCGAGTTCGCCTGTTCAAAAGCTCGCCTGCGAGCTCAATCTCCGCCTGCACTAGGGTCTTCGAATCCGCCTTCAGCAGCTCGTCAGCATGAGGTCGCGATTCCGCCTGTAGTTGTCGATTCGCCTGTCGACTCAGATCTCACCTTCTCCAACTCAGCTTCGCCTGTAGCTAGGGTTTCGAGCTCGCCATCAGCTCCGTCTTCAAGCTTGACTTCGCCAGAGTCGGAGCTTGCCTGCGATTCCATCGAGAGCTCGCCATCAGCTCCGTCTTCAAGCTTGACTTCGCCAGAGTCGGAGCTTGCCTGCGATTCCATCGACGTCGCCTGCTTCATGATTTCGCCTGATGGAGGTATGAATCTACACCCAAATCCAACAATCTCCCACCTGGAGACCAAAACCGCCATCAGCTAGCTCTCTCTTTACAAGCATCTTCTTCTGTGTGGCTCTGCCCTCATCTCTTACATATGAAGGCCAACTAAAGTTGCGCACAACTCCAGTTTTTGAATGGTGACTGCCTTAGTAAACATATCTGCAGGATTTTGGCTCCCCAAAATCTACTCTAACTGTAACTTCTCGTCCTCAATCATCGAGCGTATAAAATGGTAACGTAACTCGATGTGCTTCGTTCTGGCATGAAACACTAGGTTATTGGCAAGGTGTATAGCACTCTGGCTATCACAATAAAGAACTGCGTTCCCCCGCTTCAGACCCAACTCATCCAGGCACCCGGTTAGCCAAATCATCTCCTTGCTCGCCTCGGTCACTACGACATACTCTGCCTCAGTTGTGGACAACGTCACAATCTTCTGCAAACGTGAGACCCAACTCACTGCTGTTGACCCTAAGGTATAAACATACCCCGTGGTGCTTCGCCTCGTATCATGATCACCGGCAAAATCTGCATCCATGTATCCCTGCAGTGTCAACTCTTTTCTCCCGAAACACAGTGGCATATTCGTAGTCCCTCTCAGATATCGCAATATCCACTTCACGGCCTCCTAATGCTGCTTTCCTGGGTTGCTTGCAAACCTGCTTACAACTCCCACTGCATGGGCAATGTCCGGCCTCGTGCAAACCATTGCGTACATCAGACTACCAATGGCTGATGAATACGGCACCTTCCTCATGTGCTCCTTCTCAGCATCAGTCTTGGGTGATTGTTCACCAGACAACTTGAACTGGCTTCCAAGGGACGTGCTAACGACCTTAGCATTCTGCATATTTAATCTCTGAAGTACCTTCTCAATGTATTCAGACTGACTCAACTTCAACGTCCCCTCGGCCGCATCCCGACTGATCCGCATCCCAAGAATTTACTTCACTGCACCCTGATCTTTCATTGCAAACTCCTTTGCTAACTGCTTCTTTAGCTTGTTTATCTCCTGTAAACACGGTCCTGCAACTAACATGTCATCGATATACAGCAATAACACGATATAGCTGAACTCGAACCTCTTGAAGTAACAGCAACGATCTGAATTGCATCTGCCATAGCCATTGCTTTGCATGAAGTTATCAAACTTCTTATACCACTGTCGTGGAGCATGTTTCAATCCGTATAAGCTCTTCTTGAGCCTACACACCATCTCTTCCTTTCCTTCTTCAATGAAGCCAATGTTTCAATCCGTATAAGCTCTTCTTGAGCCTACACACCATCTCTTCCTTTCCTTCTTCAATGAAGCCAACAGGTTGCTTCATGTAGATTTCTTCATCCAAGTCGCCATGAAGAAAGACAGTCTTCACATCTAACTGCTCAAGATAGAGATTTTCAGCAGCTACCAAGCTCAACACCACCCTGATGGTTGTGAGCTTCACAACGGGGGAAAATATCTCCGTATAATTCACTCCTTCCCGCTGTTGGAACCCTTTCACGACTAATCTGGTCTTGTATCTCTTTCTTCCATCACTCTCCTGCTTGACTCGGTAAACCCACTTGTTATGCAAGGCCTTCTTCTGTGCAGGTAGCTGGGCTAACTCTCATGTCTCGTTCGAGTGGAGAGAATCCATCTCTTCTTGCATTGCATGCTCCCACTGCTGAGATTCTCTCACTTGCATAGCCTCCTCATAGCATTCTGGTTCTCCGCTATCTGTCAAAAGTAGGTAGTCTAGTGAAGAGAGATACCTGGGATTCGGTTTGGGTACCCTGGATGACCTTCTAAGCTCCTCGCCCTGGGTAGTCGGTTCTACAACTGGAGTCTCCTCCGTTCTTTGGTCAGAATCGACGTTGTCTCCCCCATCTGGAAGTTCCTCCAAATCCATGTACTAGGATGTGTCCGCATCCGTAGTGCTGCTCCCACTGTTTTGGCCCGCCTTGGCATTGTCCCTGTCCTTGTACATCACTTCCTCATTGAATATGACATCTCGGCTTCTGATGATTTTCCTGTTCTTCTCATCCCACAGACGATACCCGAACTCATCAATGCCGTACCCAATGAATGTACACTTCAATGACTTAGCTTCTAGCTTGTCCCTGACATGGTCACTGATGTGGACATATGCCACGCACCCAAAGACTCTTAAGTGCGAGAGATTAACTTTCTTACCACTCCAAACCTCTTCCGGAATCCCGAAGTTCAATGGAACTGATGGTCCGTGATTTATCAAGTACGCTGCTGTATGCACCGCGTCCGCCCAAAAGGTTTTAGGTAGACCTGCATGTAGACGCATGCTCCTCGCACGTTCTGTCAGCGTTCTGTTCATTCTTTCTGCTACGCCGTTCTGTTGCGGCGTCCCTGGAGTAGTCCTCTCCAAACGAATCCCGTTTAGAGCACAGAACTTCTTGAACTCCTCCAAATTATATTCTCCACCATTGTCTGATCTCAGACACTTCACTTTCAGATCTGTCTCGTTCTCCACCATGGCTTTCCACTTCTTGAAAATGTTAAACACCTCTGACTTGTGCTTCATGAAGTATACCCACACCTTTCTCGAGTGATCGTCGATAAAGGTGACAACCGCCAAGAGAAGACACGCTAGCTGGACCCCATATGTCTGTATGAACAAGCTCTAGCTTGTGAACTTTAGGTGGTCTTCCACCCTTTAAAAAACTAACTCTCTTCTGCTTCCTAAAGATGCAGTCTTCGCGAACACCAACTTCCACCGAATCGATGCCGGTTAGCTTCCCTTCTGAGTGTAGAATCTTCATACCCTTCTCACTCATGTGTCCCAGCCTATTGTGCCACAGATCTGCACTCTCATTGCCTGCAGCAATCGCGAGGGTGTCACTCGCGTGTGAAGTTAGGTAGAGTGTACTGGTCTTGTTGCCTCGGGCAACCACCATTGTACCATTGGAGATTTTCCACGAATCTCTGGTGAATGTTGCAACATAGCCTTCTGCTCCGAGCTGGCCAACCGAAATAAGATTCCTCTTCAACTTCGGTACGTGTCTGACATAGCCTTCTGCTCCGAGCTGGCCAACCGAAATAAGATTCCTCTTCAACTTCGGTACGTGTCTGACGTTCTTCAGAGACCACTTGGAGCCCTTCAACTGTATTTGCACGTCGCCTCTCCCAATTACACTACAGGGTTCATTATCCCCCAAGTATACTTTTCCAAAGTCTCCTGCTACATAGTTTTGAAATAGCCTTCTATTAGCAGTGGCGTGGAATGAGGCTCCCGAATCAATAACCCATGAATCGGAATCGCTATCCATAGCGAGAATCAGCGCATCTTGCACAATATGAGCCTCCTGCTCATTTTTCTTCGGTACTTTACAGGTAGAAGACATGTGGCCCTCCTGACCGCAGTTCCAACATTTCCCTTTGATAGGTCTTACCTTCGAGTTCGACCTTTTCTTCTTCGACTTCGATCGATTCCTGTTTTGGTTCCCCTTATTATGGCTTCTGCCTCTCTGCTCGAGACTTAGGGCTGAACCTGAACCTTCCGATTCATTCGATTTTCTTCTAACCTCCTCGAATAGAATCATAGCTACCACCTCCTTCAACTTCAACTTCTCCTTCCCTGCCGAGTTGCTTATTGCGGTCACGCAACCTGCCCAACTATCCGGTAACTGTGATAGTATCAAAAGGGCCTGCACTTCGTCATCGAACTTGATGTCGACTGAGATAAGGTGATCAACAATCGTGTTGAACTCGCTGAGATGCATCGTGAATGAACATCCTTCTGTCATCTTGAGGTTGAATAGCGTCTTGACGAGATGCACCTTATTTGCAGCTAACGGTTGCTCGTACATCGTTGCGAGCGCTTCCATAAGCCCAACCGTCGTCTTCTCCTTTAATATATTGTGTGCTACAGATTTTGCGAGGGCCAATCGGACCTGCCCCAAGGCTTTTCGATCCAATATTTCCCAGTCCTTGTCGGATTCTTCTTTCTTCTTTCCTTTTGCTTTACCCATCAACGGACGATAAAGATCCTTCTGGTACAGATAGTCCTCCATCTGTGACTTCCAGTAGGCTAAGTCTGATCCGTCAAACTTCTCAATTTTTGATTTGTCTTCTTCTGTCATTTCTTACACACACAGATCTGAACAAGAGCTCTGATACCAGTTGTTGGGGATAAACTCAGATACGCTCTGACACCCGTTCTGCGGAATTGCCCTACCGGATCTTGTTTTAAGCAATGGAAAAAAAACCACAGCAAAACAAAAAATTTACAAGAAAAAAGAACACCGAGTTTTAACGAGGTTCGGCAACTTGCCTACGTCCTCGAGAGCCACACAAATAATTTTCTTTATATTAAAAGAAGATTACAAAGCTTGTAAAGAGCAAATCTCGACTTGAGATTTCTCAAAAGAAGAGACAACAGTAAAATCTCCCCTCTCGCTCTCTCCTTAATAAATCGCTACAGGAAACAGGAGATTTTTCCTCTGAAAAATTCTCCGTTAAAGCTCTGCTTTTGTGGCCGCCGCCAGAATAATTTAGATGAGAAGAAGAGAAAACGGGTATTTTTCTCTCGTGCACAGGATTCCCTTAAATAGGGAAACCCTAAGGCTGAAAGGGGAGTGGGATCCAGCTGGATCCAACGCAACGAGCAGGCGAGCTCTCTCTCTCTCTCTCCGTAGCAGGCGAATCGAGTTCGCCTGTTCAAAAGCTCGCATGCGAGCTCAATCTCCGCCTGCACTGGGGTCTTCGAATCCGCCTTCAGCAGCTCGTCAGCATGAGGTCGTGATTCCGCCTGTAGTTGTCGATTCGCCTGTCGACTCAGATCTCGCCTTCTCCAACTCAGCTTCGCCTGTAGCTAGGGTTTTGAGCTCGCCATCAGCTCCGTCTTCAAGCTTGACTTCGCCAGAGTCGGAGCTTGCCTGCGATTCCATCGACGTCGCCTGCTTCATGATTTCGCCTGATGGAGGTATGGATCTACACCCAAATCCAACAAATATATAGTTGACAAAACGAAATGTAACCACATTTATCGATTATGATGAAAGAAATGATATGTTTACTAACGCAATGGGGGAGATCTCGTCACCGTCTGAAATATTGCCTACACTACCTCAATAAAAAAAGATGCGATGTTTCAATATATATGAGGACCAGTTGCTGATATTATCAGAAAAATAAATTTCCGTCTTTCACCTTTGTAATGGAATTGGTGTTCTGGATCAACTTCCAACTGATGAAGGTGGACTCTAAGATGCCACGGTAAACTTCCAAAAAAAAACTCATGCAATTGTCTTCCAAAAGAAATAGTATTGTTCCTAAACCTGCGATATATAGTCCACGTAACAATTAATATATATACCAAACAAAATCAAACTGGACCTTTGTAAACTCACATGCTCGAGCTATGAAAGGGAACGCAACCCATACACACCAATATAGGATTTATTCTCAAGGGATATGGGAACAAACTAAGAAAGGACTAAAAAACAAGTCAAATTCACTAAAAAGGTTGATATGGACCGGACTGGCCCCTCCCTCTCCCACTGTATCCGTGACCTCTGCCGTAATAGCCATGAGTCCGGCCACCGCGGAAACCCCCTCCACCACCCCGAACATGACGATACCTCGAGAAATTGCCAAATGTCTGCATCCATCCCATATAATGGCATTATGAGTTATGTTAGTAAATCGGAGCATGATGTCCAGAAAATTTATAATGGGTTAATTGGAGATAGACTGCTTGTACTATAGTCCAATTGCAGATAGACCACCTGTAGTTCTATATCTGTGGATAGACTCCCTGTACTATCACTTGAGTGCAGATAGACCCCTAAGTATTTTTTTTTTTACTCTTTTACCCAGCGAGGCCTATTTGTCGAAATAATTTTCTCTCACTGAGGATAAAAGGGTCAGAATATCATTTTGTGGGTCTATCTGTAACAATATAACAATAGAACATCTATCCGAAACCAGGCGATAGTGCAATGGGTCTATTTGCGATTAACCCTTTACTAAGTATAGAAAATGGACATAGAACATGCGTAACAAGGAAGGTGGACAAGAGGGAGTCCAGCTGAAAAAAGTAAGTGGAAAATTAGAAGACAAAACATTCTCTAAACTTGTGAAAATGGCATTATGAGTTAAGGCATGAGATTTTCTTCTAGACCAAGAATACGATTGATAAAGAAGGATCATACTTCTGCATCAATCTTCAACTGCTCGGAGAATCTGGGCCGTCCATTACTTGATCCACGATCAAGGGCGTTGCATGATAGAGTGTCAAAGAAGTCATCCTTAACATAGATGGGCTACATTGGGGATTGAAGGAAATAACATATCAGCAGCTTTAGATAGGAAAAAGTTACTCCTTTAATGGTAGTAAATGAAATTGGGAAGTTCTGCCACATTGTACCTTTGAATCAGATTTTGAAGGCTCATAGCCATCTTCATCAACAATATCAGCATCTTCTTCAATGTCTCCTTCTGCGTCTCTTAGTTGGCCTTTGTTTTTACAAAGATCGCCCCAAACTTCATCCTTGTTAAATTTCTCGTTCATTGCTGTAAAGTCAAAGTCTTCCGTAAATTTGGTCATAGGACGTGGATACTGCAAAATCCAACCATTGACAAATTATACCAAATTAGTCAATTCACTGATACTCAGCAATGGCATAGATACTCGGACTGTTATTTTGCTTACTGAATATTGAATAGTGGAAGTAGCTAGAAAAGTATAAGGAAAAGCAAAAAATACTAATCACTACAAAACTTTAAGTTTTTCAGTTCGCTTATTCTTCTTGTTGATGTAATTTGCATCCAGAACATTCAACTACAGATCCCACTTAAACACCCATGGAGGCCTGTCCTTGCCATTTTGTAGAAGCTAGAGCTCATCATCCATCTACAGGTGCAATCTCAGTTACAGCTCAGCCTTCAGTTTGTCAATCTCACAAATTTCTGTACATTGCAACTCTCATTTGGTTTGGTTCCAGTATTTAAAGTTCTTCTGTATGTTGCAACTCTGATTTGGTTTCAGTATTTTAAAAAGAAATTTCCCTGAACCTTATAGATCATTGAAATTATCCTCCAACTCTTGGAATTTGTCAGTTTGTGTCCAAAATCAAATTAAGACTCATATTTAGAGTGCTCTATTTTATTTTTTGCCATTAAGATGATTTTTTTCAAACATGCTTAAATTACCCTTGCTTTCCTTGATTGAACTCCAATCTCCTACAAACCCTAATACTAATAAAATATAAAAAGAAAATATTCTCTCTCTTACTCTCTCAACTTAGATCTAAATCATGAGAACTCGAGACCTCTTTTTCCCCCTTCTTTCATTCTTCTTTATTTTTTATTTTTTATTTATAGTTTTGCTGGTGGAGTGGGAAGAGGGTGTTTTCGTGGTTTTTCATTTGAACAAAGGAGAAGAGAAGGATGGCAGAAGGGGTGAAATATATTCAAACTATTTGAAATCTGACATTACTAAATTGAGAGTAACTCAGAATTCCCATATGAAGGCTCATGTTGAAGGACAGAGAGTACGGTAAAGGGGTGTTTCGTGGTTTTCCCTTTGACCGAAAGGGAAGAATGCAGAAGGGTGTAATATGCTTGAACTATTTGGAATCTAATAAAGAGGAATAATTCTATAAGTCTCTATGAATTGGGAATAAATTCGCAGATTCAAAAATAAGAAAGAATATCCCTCCCACACTGTGACTCCTGCAAAGACCAAGCTATCTACTTCAGAATGCCACTTAAGATGTTTGTCTCCAAGCTTTACCTTCCGGAATTCAAAAGATCAGAGAGGACCTCAACCTAAGCATCAAAAAATAAAGTTACATGAATGTGAGTGGTTATCACCGTATGGCATGTTTAGTTTTTTTTTTTTATAGTGATCCCTTATTAAATCTTTCATATTTTTTAATTAGTACCTCAAATCATTGAAATTGCTATTAAGTCCCAAAATTCTTGTAAGTTACTTCAAATTAGTTTCCGCAGTTTGCAACCACTTGAATTGGGGAGAATATTTCATTTAACCAAACTTTCTTAACCTGGATTTCCAATTACAACTTCTCTTTTAAGTTGAAGGGCTATTTGCATATACACCCCTTAAATCATCCATATTTGGAAAATATCCCAAATCTCAATATTTGAAAAAAATACCACACATTCAATTTTTCTACCCCCTTGATCCAGTGCTAGATTTTAACTGTCGATGTGTAGGTTTACAAATCTACCCCTGCCTCAACTATCACCTTGTTTCTCCCCTTCTTTGCCAATTTCAGATTGTCTAATACTCCTCGACTTCAACAACCCAACCTTGTCTCCTTCCTCAGCTACCAGTCAAAGTATACATCTTGATTTTGTCATCGAACACATAGAGCGCGCACATCCGTATTCATTAAGTTCACGTTCTTGAACTCCTCACAAGTTCAAAAATCTCAAAACATTTGATTTCTCAAGCTCTGCCAAGATGGGGTCAAGGAGATCTTCAGATTTGGTGATGGGTCCCATTCAGACATTTCATGAAGGAGATTGTGGAGGATGTTGACATTTGGGATTTGCCGAAGACATCATGGGCTTCGTTGGCGATGACATAGGACTAGGAGTGGGTGAATTTGTGGGTGAGCCTGGAGTGGAGTAGGAGGTTTTGAATTGGATGCCATAAGAAGGGGGAACGTGTTGAAAATGTGGAGGAAGAGCTCGTGGATTAGGGTAAATGGTGCAAGATAGGAGTCTTGGAAGATCGAAAACAATTCTAGAAAAAGAGAGTGGAGAAGAAAGCTTGGAGATGATGGAGAAGAAGATGATGGGGGTAGATGTTGGGAAAAATATGAAGAAGTTGATTGAACTTCAATTAAAAGTTGAGGGATTTTTTAATCAATAATTAATTATAAAAGTTAACTTAACAGAATATATGGAATATACCGTGTGTATTACTTAACAGAGTCAAATGAGAGGTAGTTTTTTCTAATGTTGATGATTTGAGGGGCTATTTTGTAAATACTGAGCTTTGAGGTGTATCTTTGCAAATATGGATCATTTAAGGAGTATGTATCTGTAAATAACCCTAAGTTTAATCAAAACCTAAAATCAGTAGATCTTAGACCCGTTTAAACCTGAATCCTGTTTAAACTGCAACTCCATTATTTTCTATTTCTTCCGCAATAATAAGTTCTTAATCCCTAACCCATTTTCAAATCAAACCTAAATATAAAAATTAGGAATTCATATCACAAACAATGATCAAATGACAAGTTTATAACAACAACCAAACCCCAAACTGAAAAGAATGACTTAAAAAAAGTAATAAGATGAATAAAAAAACTCAAAAATTACAGCCAGAATCTCCAACTAGGGCCTGAAGTTCACAACCAAGGTCAACATTGGAGTTCAAGCTGGGATCAGAAAAGAAATGTTTTGGGGTAATTCACTCTTGATTCGGGGCATGATCGCCCCCCCCTCCGACAGGGGGTTTCTTTTTTGGTTGGGTGGTGTGGTGTGGGTGTGTGGGGGGTGGGTGGGAGTGATCATGCCCGAATCAAGAGTGAATTACTTCGTAAGCCATATTTACTTAAGTAGCAGGTAATGCACTTTCCACTAGGCATCTTTTCAAAATGCAAAAATGCATGTCATCGTAAATTCATAATTTTCATCAAGGTATCACCAACTGCAGTTGCACTGCATAATGTTAACAACGCAGCTAAAAGACAACAACGTGGTATTTGGTTGTTCTTGATACTATTTGCCTATAATAGTAATATCTTTCATGATAGACAGTCGTATGATTAGAAATTTCGCTTCTTGTTATGCTTCCCGCATCATATACATTTCCAAGTCATTTAAACTACATGAAGCAAAATGAACTGAGAAAAAGAATGGCATACCCAATTTCCTCTCCCTCTTCCACGTCCCCTACTAATTTCATGAGTATGCAAGACTGCTCTATTTGGCTGCAAAGACAGAAATACATCAGTCGTTGCTGTTGAAGTAAAACAGTATGCATGAACAAATACTACAGATTTAGCTAATAAATACCAATTTATGGGATCAACATGAACCCGTATCAAATCAAATCAATGACAAAGTTGGCAATTTATACAGTTAAAATTATCCATGACAAGAAGCTTCAAGAGATTTTAGTTTCGATAATAGTCAACAGGGAAGAAAAATCCTAAAAACTACTTGAATAGTTCAAATTTCGACATTAGGCTTCAGTCAAGCAAATCAGCAATTCAGTAGGATAATAATGCCTGCTATGAATATTCCTATCCATTACTTCAAAAATATATATGGAATGCCCTTCAAGCATTAAATGTTTAAAAAAACAGGTATTTTCCAATAAAACGTAGTATACTTCCTTCTAATGAATACTATTTTCAAATGGTACTCCCTTTAAGTGATAAAGATGGTTTAGAATGCAAGTCTTTAAAGCAAGAAAATGGAGAGTGTAGATTCAACTTACAGCAGTTTAAACTTGGGAGTTCATCCCTAAACTACATTGAAAAGAGACAATGGGGAAGGTTTAAAAATGCTGGGTAGGGGAAAATTAACATGAGGTATCTACAAAACCAAGAAGACGTGTTAGTCAGCTTGTAATCAAAGATTTGCCCTAAATATCTCTCAGGCATAATATATTCCTTTTAAACAAGCATTGCAAACATAGTGCTCTGTGGGCCAGTAACGTCCGAAGATCCAAATATTTGCATTCAGTTCATGCAGAGTGATATTTTATCTAGACGATTCTTCTTACGGTACTACACAACATCTCAATCCATTACTAGGGAGATCATCACTAGCAAATTAATAAGGGAAAAAAATCCCAACTCTTAAATAGCAATACAGACAGACCATTTACGTCAATAAGAGGAAATTTAACAAGGCTCACAATATAAGTTCACTTCAATTAATTATTACTCTAACTAGTTCCTATGAATTGATATTATATCATTTTATGACTACAATTTAAATGATCGCTAGAAGAAAAAATATACACTTCAGATTTATTTATTTTTAATGTACCACAGCTATACGAAATTTAGAAAAAATTTCTTTACGGAGAAAGGAGGGCATTGCAATTTACAGATGAGTATGAATGGAAAGCAAAGGTACAACTACAAGAAAGATGACAAACTCAAAGAACTAAAACGTTACATCTTACTGTGGCTGTAATTTCTAAGATATTGGATATCAATTCTTTCAACTTCAAATGTTCAGGATCAGTGAGAACAGGATTTAATAATTTACAAATTAAATATGGATGTGAAGCAGGTTTTTGACAGTAGAAAGAAACCCTTAATAGAGAGATCATCATATGACTACCGGTATATTGATAAAAAGTTGCGTAGTTCAGACAAGCACGTACCAATGTAATCCCAATAATCAGTTAACTAAAAATAAAATAACAAATGTCAGGATGGCATACCTTTTGATGAGTATGTGTCGGCAATGGTAGTATAGGTTCCTTACGCATAGGCACAGGTGGCTCAGGCAACAATGGTTTGGTCTTAGATTCCTCTGGCTTAACCTCTTCAACTCTAATTCTTGCTTGTAATTGTTGAGAAGATGATGCAACTAAAGGTGCGGACTGCAACTGATCAGGGATAATTAGAGGTACCGATGTTTCAATTTGGCTAGGATTTGTATTGATAACAGTTGAGGTCACTGGCTGATGCGTAATCTGATAATTCACATTGGGAGCTGGTACAACCATAGGACTAACACTGGCAAGCATATTCTGAGATACTGTTGCACTAGGCTCTGAATGAGAAGCTAGATGTGGCAGGAATGACACATTAGCTTTTGGCTTCTCAACATGCGTTGAAGTAGAGAAGCCAAACATGGACGATGCCGGCTGAGGCATGGTCTGGTAACTAACATTTGAATTTGAAACAAGACTACGGGTGGTACTAAGCATTGCAGGCACATGCTGAGATCCTGATGCAACTAACTCCAAACTAGAATGTGGCACAAATGACATATTAGCACCAAATGACGCTTCAGGAGCTGGTGAACTAGGTTGGAGTGGAGGTAATGTTGATGGGATCATAGTTGCGGAGGTTGAACCTAATGTACTACTAACAGTTGGCAAGAAAGAAGGAAACTCAGGCAAATATTGCAAAGGCTGCTGCATGGATTGAGGAAAAGACAGTCCAGCTGGTGGACGCAACAAAGGGGATTGTTGCAAGTGAGGAAGTGTGCCTGTGGGTGCATAGTATCCTGGCCACAAAATTGGCATAGGGCTCGCCACTGCCAGCCCAGAGCCATTTACAGTTGGTGGAGCAGGAGAGGAGCCCCAAGACCCTAAGCTCCCTGTTGGCTGATATAAAGGCAGGTTTCCTTGGAAAGGTGGACTTTGAAGTCCCAGTTGATCTGTGTGGGGAGTTATATCAGCAGTATGTGAGTTAAAATCAGGAGCACTTCCACTTCCAGCGGAAGAGAAGCTTGCAGATGAAGGTGGTGGACGAGAGTAGTGAGACTGCACAAAGAACTTTCTATATTATTGAAATAAGTCAAGTCTCCAATGCACAACCTCCATATCCTGTTACCTGAATAATGGCAGGATCATCGTGCAAAGGAGCATTCTGAGCAGGTGGTGAAGCCTTGACCTGTAAATCCTGAAAATAAGCAATTGAACTATAATCAAAGCGGAAAAAAAATTCAATCTCTCATTAAAAAAAAATATGCCAACACTATCCCCTAGAACAATTTAAGAGGAAACATATAAGTAAGATGTCAAAATGATACGATATTGCAAAAATAACCAACAACAGATACGAAAGTGATGACGGGCGGTTTATGGAGAACCTAGCGTACGTACATGATACGATTTAGAGCTGATGCTTCTACTCTAAACAACAACCTTCTTCTATCGGATAATAACATAGAAGACGGTGATACCAAAAAAAATGAAAGCAAAGAGATTGATCCGTCAGTTAATATACTATTCCTACACATTTATGCGTTAAAGAGCCAAAATTTGGAGAATTATCATATACCTAAGTGGATGGTTCCAAATAGTCTTCCTAATCAAACACATTATATAGTATAATTGTTAGTATTCCTTTTACACAGGACACGACCCAATTGTTTTAGGCAGTATAACTGAAACTTCATACTAAATACACAACTTCTTCACACTAGATCCAACAGGGCTAGATGATGAACAATGAGAAGCAAATGAATCTACCGAATAACTCCATGGTGTAGCTTTCATGTTTTTTCTCTAGATTTTTAAACTTTTATCTTCAAGGTTTATGATAAATCATGTAGTCAACAATTTTTACAAAAGGTGAGGAAGGAAATGTAACTAATCTTAAAACAATAATATTATATGAAATCATTTGGTGCAAGAAGGGGAATATACTTTATTTTGATAAAGAACATGGAAGCTTCACATTCTTTCCTCAGGGAGAAAATTTCTCATTAACATGTAGATATTCCCAGCTTGTTCCACCCATATTTAGAGGTTTAACACGAGGTACCCACAGCATATAACTTAGACAGATCTCCATGAAATGAATCGAAAATATTACACATTGCCATCACAATCCTGTGTGTGTTGGCATGTATCAATATTATACAGAGGTGTCTATGCAAACAAGGTCAATCCAACAAATATTTAGAAAATTACATCATAATGAAAAGCAGGAGAAGCACATGATATTCTAATCAAAGTTCGAGCTTTTAACACATTGAAAATACAGGTTAAATTCTTGCATTATGCTCGTTATGCCATCAGTAGCAAATGCGAATGTAATTTACTTGCTGAAGGGCCAAAATCTCAAGCAAAAGAGTAGCCTTAATCTTAGAAAAGCTAAAGTTCAGCTTTTAACAATTTTATGCAAGTTAACAAGCAGTATGCAGGTAATTCCCCTGAACCTTGATATCAGAGACAAACATCGTAAATCAAATATACATCCTAATACATTACGTCTTTCATGGTGTAGTTAAGTTCCCTGTACCTTGATATCAGTTCCACGGAAAAGTATGTATTCATAAACTTTTTCACTGGCAGGAATTTGAGGACCATCCTTTTTTCGACCTTCAGTTCCAAAAGCTCGTACTACCAAGAGAAAATAATGAGTCGGAACAAACAGTTAACTGCAAGTAATTTGTGAACTAGATAAAAGCCTGCAGACAAAAGAAAATAGAGATGCAACCTGCTTTATGAGTATTTTATCCAGTGTCAACATAAATGAAGAAAAGCTACTTCCATGTAGAATCGATTCTTCAATTATTTCAAAGGATTGATGATAACAGTTATATTTGGACGAGATTATTATTAAAAAAAAACTAAGAAACAACATCTACCAAGTCACAAGGGATGAAATCCTCTATGGTGGCATCCAACTGACCCACTCCTATGGCCAGTATCTAGAATAAGCAGAAAAGTAATCCTGCTCTTCTAGCATCTTTCTTATGGAAGAACTAAAGAATTTTCCTTCATTAAGAAAATAATAGGAGTTGGATATGACAATTTATGAACATATATTCCAGTATACAAAGACTTCCTACCTAGTTAGAGCCAAAAACAGAGAAAGTAATGGTCTCCGGGAAAAATCCAATCGACCCACTCTGATGACTGGTAGCAAAAGCTAACACTCTGCCCCCAACTCACGTCTGTTTTCATTGTATAATCAAAGGTCCATTGCAAATTCGCAACGAAGCAACAAAGATAAAACTTTTTGTATAAACATATTGTTTAGCTCTTGCAGGCATATGGCAAGAGGCTGTAACATGCTTGAAAGTAGAAACCGTGCCATTCTCTACTCTCTAGCTGCACATTCACACTATGCATTTATAATCATGAAGGTATACTAAAAACCGTCATTTTGCTGAACTTTCAGCGGTGCATTACGCTTTACTTTAAACAGAAAATGTGATTTCCTTACACTGCTTCTAGTTTTTCTGATGCTCAACTAGAAGGTTCTCAATAACAGAAGTTAATCCATCTGGATGAATGAAGGACCATTGCACAATGCACACATACAAATTAAAAAAAGAAAAAAAAAATTCTTTGCATGTGAGGAACTACCGAAAAAAAAAAATTATTACATGTCTTTAGATAGTTCATTTGAGATTAGTTGAGTTGCTTTACTTAATCTTTAGCAGGAGTTCATCGCTTCGCTTTTAAGAGTAATCTAATGAAGTGATTTCTTTTTATAACAACAACAATCAATAATCCAAAAACTCTGACTTAATTCATCCAGATGATCCCAGAAACTTTCATCAATGAAAACACAATCCTAATTCCACAGAAAAAAAATTGAAAAATTAAAAAAAAAATAGTCTTTTAGACCAAATCTTTAATCCAAAAAAGTAAAGAGAGAGGGAGAGAGAGAGTGAGAGGAGTACCATTTTTCAAGCCGAGGTTAGATTCTTGAGTGTTGATGTTGTAGAGGACTCCTTCGTATCGGATCTCGTACTTCGAGGTGAGGCTTATTTTAGCGCTCCGATGCTACGACGTCCCCGCGCGATGCCGCCCCCGATCTTGAAGTCTCCGCTACCGCGGCCGCCCGCATTAACAATCCGATCGAGTAAACCAAAGATCGGTTTTTTGTTGTTTTTCTTCTTTTTTTTTTACCTCTTGTTGTTAGACAGAGCGAAAACGCTTTCGCTTACGGATTCTGGTGTTGGTGCTTTATGAGCTTTTTTGTACCCACTCGGGGCTTTCTCTGTATTTATATGTTGGCCACCGGGAAACTGCCTGCTTAGATTCCCCCACCCACCCGCCCCCCCCCCCTGTTTTCCTATTTTACCCTTTATTTTTAAGAGCTGTTTGGTTGAGTGGTTTTATAGAAAACGTTATAGAAAAATGGCTGATACTGATTTGGTTCAAAAAAATTTTACAGATAATTTTTCTATGAAGTACAGAAAAGTATCACATTTTATAAAAATCAATTTCTGCTCAAAATAGACGGAAATCACTCAGAAATCTGACGCATATCTATCTACCCTTTAAAAGAGGGAGTTTCAAAAAAACTTTCCTTACCCTAAATTACCCTTCAACTATTGTAAATATAACAAGAATTCATCATAATCAGAAATGAAAAGCCTTAAACTTATCGTCGGTTACGCGTTCCCTCCGGCAACAGGTTCATCGGTTACGCTTCTCCTCAACCAACGCCGTCCCACGATCTTAAGTCATCAAATGCCAAAGATGGGTATTATTATTATCATCATCAACGCACCGCCTCTACCATCATCTCCACAGCTCTTAGATTCTGACAACGGTAAGGATTGAGTTTCTTCTTCTTCTTCTTCACCCCGCTACACAAAACCCTAGCTATTTGTTCTAATTTTGCCCTAATTCTCGATTTCCTGCAGTTTCAAGCGACGAGGGTTTCAATATTCGAAGGGCAGTTGGAGCGAGATTAGAAAGTAAGTGGAATCTCGATCTTTCCATTTCTCAGTTAGATCAGCTCTTTTAAACTAATCCTGCACTTTTCTACTCTTATTATTGATTATTGATCTTATTGATTCGTTCATCAACTTTTTCCTTTCCCATTTGATTCCTGCGCTCAACAGGATTTTGGTGAATAAGATCACGTCCCCTTCAAAGACCTCAGCTGGGATCTTGCTTTGCCAAGGTACCATCTTTAAATTCAGTGCTTTTTGCCAAATTTTGCCGTTTTCCCTCTATTTTGTTAATGAGTTTTGCTCCATAATCGAAACTTTGATATGGGTCACTCTTCTTTTTTCTGTTAATTGTTTTTTTTTGTTTTTTTTGTACTTATGTTCTTATTTGAGTTGTTTTTTTAATCAAATGGTTGCTAATTTAGGAATTTTCATGTGTCTAGATGATTATGCATTTTTTTATGTTATATTGTTGTATACATGATGCAAAATGAAATGCATTAGAAATTCATTTGTTAGGAGTATGAAACAAAATTATGCAGCATTGTCAATCTAGAGAAATGTATTGGATCTACTGCTGTTATGTTGGTTATAGAGTTAAAAGAACACTTGACAAAGAAAACTTTCATATCTCGGAACAAGGACAGGCTAAGACAATGTACGTGGGCCGAACCATGGATTTTATCAGTTCCAAGCAAGCATTAATAGCGCAAGCTGCAGTTTGGTGTGCACATATTTATACATGGACACCAATTTGCTTTGAGTGGCTTTGAGGGTTTATCCATCAATGGTTGTCTGCTACCTGGCAATGCAATTCTCCTATATTAGGTCCGAATGCTGTTTCGATTGCTTGTTTTCACAAAAAGCGGGTTATGTCAAGTTTTGTATAATGTAATGATAGTCGTTCATCAATATTTTGGAGAGGACGATTCTGACTCGCTCCAAATTTGAGTTTGGCATTCCTCTTGAGAAGTTCATCAATATTTTGGAGAGGACGATTCTGACTCGCTCCAAATTTGAGTTTGGCATTCCTCTTGAGAATTGGACTCATTTTTTGCATTTGACTTGAGAAAAAATCAAAGGTAACATTTGTGATTAGGAATTTGATTCTCTGTGCACCTAGACATAGTGGAGAGGACGCTTTGAGGGTTTATCCATTAATGGTTGTCTGCTACCTGGCAATGCAATTCTCCCAGATTAGGTCTGAATGCTGTTTCGATTGATTGTTTTCACAAAAAGCGGGTTATGTCAAGTTTTGTATAATGTAACGATAGCCATTCATCAATATTTTGGAGAGGACGATTCTGACTCTCTCCAAATGTGAGTTTGGCATTCCTCTTGAGAACTGGACTCATTTTTTGCATTTGACCTGAGAAAAAATCAAAGGTATAAACATTTGTGATTAGGAATTTGATTCTTCGTGCACCTAGACGTAGTGGAGAAGATTTGTGTCAGTTGCTTCTTTATCTGTGAGTTAAAGCTTTGTGTCGTTTAACTCCATTACAAGATCAATGGAAAAGCATATTCTTAGGTCCGTGAATGACCCCTATGAAATTTCTTCATTTTTCTCGTTATCTTTATGTTTTCATATCAGATTATGAAAATATAACTGTTGAGAGCTTGCCATCAATGCAAGGATGAAAGCTTTTCTGTGGATATATAGTTGTCTACCTTAGTTTTATGTGGTAATTAGAATTGAAAAAAATCATGTCACTTATTGATAATGTAACATAATGAGAACTGGATCGTATTTGAATATTTTTCAGATTTACCATCAGTTTTATGTGAAAATGTTAGAAGAAAAAATTAATATCAGTTTTACATGAACATGTCAGAAGAAAAAAAAGTAGACGATCAGTTTTTGTTTTAAAAGTAGCTATTCCATGACGTAGTTGTTTATGTACTTGAAATATATATGTGTGTGTGATTGTAAAACTTATTATATCCGGATGTATTATACTTTTCTATCATCAATCTTGCACAACTTATTTTGAGAGAGCTTTGGCAAAAGCATAGAATTCACACATAATGAACTGCATTCAACCACACCTAGGCTTACATAACTTGAATTATGAAGATATTTTTCCCACACATGACGAAGAGATGTTCACAACCCTCAATTTCTACTCCCTCAGTTGGTGATGGAAAAAAAAAGACAACAGAGGCTGAAGGGGAAATCAAAATTTGAATTTATGTAGCTTACATGACACACTCAATAGCTTGCATGCAGATTCCAGTCATCGTAGCCTCTGGCCCATAAACCTGCAGCAAAAAATTCCCAAATTTCAATTAGTTAGGCATCCAGCAGGAAAGTCAGACAAAATGACCTAAATTTTGATTTCTCAGCTAAATTAGATCTATTTTACACCAGAACTCAACTGAACATGACCTGTAAAATATCAAATGATTGTTCGATTTTGGTGCTTTACCCTTTAGTGTGTTGTGTGCTATTCTAAATAGGAGTATACTAAACTGTTTTGAACCTGTTCTTTTATTCTCTTTTCTTCTCAATATAGCTTCTTTTTACTCAAATGAAAATCGACATATGACAAGTTTGATAAGCAACTCCCTGACCAAGCAATTCCTTCATGCAAGCTAATATAACTAATTTATCATGATAAGGACTCTTATCGAAATACATCAATAGAGACAAACTTCTCCAAAATGTTAGATTTGAAATTACTAACATTAGCATTATCTCTCTTTGAAATGTTGTTTCACTTATTTTAGTTGTCCTTATTTAGTCTACATGTTATAATTATTCGTGTATCCAACTTCTATTAGTGATTGGACTTGCCTTCTGGTAGTTTTGTTACTTTATATGTTTGATTAACTGTTAGTTTGAATCACTTTTCTTTTCTACATATTTTTAATCTATTGAATGCAGGCATATAACATACAATTGTATTGAACACAGCACTGGGACTTGTTTGGCCAAAAGATGTACGTAGATTGTGAAATTTTTGAAATTACTTATGTGAGTAATTCTCCACCTTCAATGTACATGATATATAGGTCCTTCTGTTGCTCATTCCAATGAAATGAATCTTGTGAACTTGTAGAAGAAAATTGGACAAACCAACGTAAGACAAAGTCTGTTATCTTCACAAATAGTTCTGTAATAATTTTGATTCACTTCATTTATTTTTTATGTCATAGGGATGCTTGAAAAGTTATGTTGAGCATCCAACATCTTGCAATGGAGCTTGTTATGAATTTTTAGTTTATGCTGGTCATCAACATTGTAAGGATACTGTTTGGATCAGCAACCAAGGTTAAAAACTAGCAACTTTCTCGGTAGGTTCCGGTATGAATGCTACCAATTAGAATCAGCTTACTAAAATTTCTGATAATAATCAAGCATAAGTATGATCTATTTTTCTTATTATTTGCTAATGATACCACGAAGCTTCTTTAATAATTGCAAGAAAATTCCATCTCTATGCTGTTTGCAGCTGCGCTCTTTCAAGGAATTTACAACCTGTTGTTGCTTTCAGATGCTGTATATAGTGGGCAATACATAATATCTAGGGTATGCTGGCTGGCTAAGACTTCTCTAATCGACGCAAACATAATTGCTACCTTATGGTTAATATAGTATGCTGTGATTACTTATTAACCATGAAATCAGGCTTATAAGTGAATTCCTAGATATAACCAAGGCATGAATATGCTCTTTTTTCTATTGTTTGCTAATGACACAAGCAAAGCACTTTTAATTGCAAGAAATGCCATGGCATATCTTATGCTTGCCGCATGCATCCTGCTTTCAGGTGTGGTTTCATTGGTTGCAGCGCAGCACACTAAATTTCAAGTTCAAAGGCATTTGTCATGCTAATTTAAGTTGATCAAATGCGTCTTTACGATCTAAGAAACATCCGTGTTAGTTGCATCCTTTATCGATCATTTTTTCAATTTTTCATTTAGATACTCTTCTGTTTTTTTCTTTCAACGTTGCTAGGTAATGCAAATTAAAAACTATGAGATTTCAAGGGTGCCCTGGTTGATGCTAGAATTTGCATTGCGCAGAAAGAAGACGGGTTATGACAAAGCATACTTTCGGCCAGGGTCAGGTTAGCTGTCCTTATCTTTGCAACCTTTATATGTTAGATGTACCTATAACACCATAACTTCTTACATTCTGAGTAGAGAGGGATTAAATCATCGTGTAATAGCATTTTCTGCCTTAAAATTGGAATTGTGGCAGATTCAATAGTGCATATTATAGGCTTCTACGCAAATTATGTTATTAGAAGAGAGAAAACATTAATGGGATGGATGAACAAATCTAGCAAGCCATGCATCATCAATGACATGACATAATAACTGTAATTTTAATTTATAGTTGCAGGTTTGCTTATTAATAATCATGAATGTTGGATAAGGCAGTATTAACAATTAATAAGTGTATTTTATGAAGGAAAATAATATCATATTAACTTGGGCATTTTTAATTTTATTCAATATTCAATTTAAAAATTGACAACTGCCGCCAATAGACTGAATCCAAACAAGACTCAAAAAGGCGCATGCCAAATCATGTGGGACCCTCATCAAGTGTTCAGAGTAAGTCGACAAAGAGGTCCTGAACAATTTGTGGCTCAATATAAGGCCACGAGCCGGTGGGTACTTTCAATACAACTAACGTTCACAATATATCTCATCTAATCAAAACATAAGATAAATGGGATTATTGCAATAAGCAGTGAACCTTTTGGTTAGCTCTGGAAAGACGATAAAACGGATCAAACGGTTAGTATTATGGGCATATTCAGTTTGACCTGCTCAATGTTGGGCTCCCACAACGCATCCTCATACTCTTCGTGCTGGTACCTATATGCTTGCTTATTTTTTCTGTAATGTAGACAATTTAGGCATCAAATTAACTGTATCTGATTGTACTTGTATCCTCTATGTAATAGGTTGGAGCAAGGTTCCTCATCTTGAAAAAGCAAAAGAATGGTATCTATTGATCCTTAGTATCCAAAATAAGCACTTTGGGGCGTATGAAATCCAATCATAAAGGTTATTTGGTTGCCAGGGTTGGTTGAATATATATTTAGCTGTATTCTAATGTTTTAAGTTTTGGATGAAGTTAGTTAAGATTGATATTACTTGTCGGCTCTCAACATCAAATGCATCTTTTCTGCTGTTCATGTAATTTTTTCATGAACTAATATAACGAATTTCAAAGGAAAAAATAAAAAATTAAAAATAAAGACCAACTTTTGTAAAAGCATGCCATCGAGACAACGCAAAAACGATAACCGTACTACCATTAACAAAACGAAGCTATGTATAGAGTTGTAGTACAAAAAGTTAGTGTAGAAGCTTATAAGGAATAGCTTAAATGTTACTGAAAAAGAATTAGCATAAGTTTTACATTCTAAATCATTTATTTGTATTTGTAAACATTAATGTAAAAAAATCCTTCAGTCTAATGTAATATTATAAGTTTACGAAAAGGTTATTTGTTAATATTTATATATGTTGTTACCTTTACAAAGTTCATAAAGTACTTTAAATACTTCAATTTAAGCCAAATGATGGTGAATATGTCTTCATAAATTTTAATTTTTTTAATTTCTTAGAGGGCATGGTTTTCTAACGCATACTAAATGTGTTGTGATCTCTCTTAAAAATAATGTGTTTTGTTTGAATGAAAAATAAAGGAGGAACTTGCTGCTACATACAAGAAGGTAAGTGGGATTATGACGCCATTTGACTGCATCTTCAAAGAAAAATTTATGAAGTTAATAATAATATATGTGTTTGTTTGAATGAAAAATAAAGGAGGAACGTGCTGCTGTGAACAAGAAGGTAAGTGAAATTATGAGGCCATTTGACTGCATCTTCAATTACTTGAGGAATTTTTATAATATCTGTGTGAGTGGCATACATTTTGTTTACTCTTGATTGCATAATTTTTAACTTCAGCTCAATTAGCACTCTTCATCTTGTTAAACATTAAATTTAGACGTCAGAAAAAGTATACAGAGATATTTATTAGCTATTTAAAATTGATAGTGGTAATAGGATAACAGAGAAAGATGCAAGTGAAGGAATTTGAAACATCTATATTCTTATTATTAAGAAATAATTATCCAACAAAATTTATGCACGCGCAACATGTTCTCTATGACTAAATCTGAGCATATACAAAACACGCACAAAAGATTTACAAATAAGGTATTGCTTGATTTTAATAAGCAATTTAATAGATCAACGCATGTTTAGAAATTATTTGCAAATTATTAGTTTTGAGATGATACTGAATGTAGAGTAATTGTTCAAAGCATACATTAAATATGACACATAAACTAATATCCGAAACATTAAACATCAAACATGTTATTTTTAAACCGATAATTAAGTCAAGGATGCAGTTTACACTCTTACTACTCTTTATGCATTGTAATAATAATATAACATTCAGACTTATCTTCCCTTGTGCTTATAATTGGGTTGATTTCTTATGCCTTACCTGTTATTTACTATACATTGCAGTGAGCGGTTGAGAAGCTAAATTAAGAACATGGAAAAGTACGAATTGGGCAACATCACTGTGGTATGCTGCTCATCTCAACAATTATGGATATGTAAATTTTATGTTGTCCCATGTGGCGTGTGGGCACACACCTATTACTGACAAATAACCGATAGTCGTCTGGAATACGAGTTAATCTGATCTCAAGTCGTGTTTTGACTAGATTATAGTTGGCAATTGAGAGGAATACTTGTTATTGTGGGAAACATCATTACTTATCCTCAATGACATGAGGTTTATTGTAAACATATGCGGTATGTATTGAAGACAGTGCATTTTTTATAAAATATAGTGCCAAAAAGTAATAAAAATTTGATACAAACATCAGCAGAGTTTTGTGTGGCTTCCTTCTAGGAATGTCTGAGTACTAGACAAAATATTTAAATAGGATGACGCCACGTTTATATTTTCAGAGTATTCAATTTAGGGGGTTTTCTATCCCTGAATGTCAAAAAGTATTACCTGCTGCCAGCGATGGGAAGGATCCATTACCCGAGGGTCTTGTGTGGCTTCTTTTGACTGGAAAGATAATTATTAACTTGCTTCTATTATTATCACTAGGACATTTTTCATGTATTTTCCCTAATTATTACCGGTGTTTGTTTGCCATTTTTGGTGCTGTTTTACATGATATCCTATTGTGTACGGAGAAAGATGCAATAGTAGAATGCACCTTAATCAAGGTAAATTCTCGAATGTTTTATATTAATTTACTTATTTATTGTTAATGCTAACTTTCGTAATTACCCCTACAAAGTGTAATTAGTGTAAATAAAACGCATATTAGAAGCTTATGTGTCAAGATAAAAAAAATGTGGTAAATAGAATAAAGAATGAGGGGTAATTTAGAAAATGAGGTTTTCATATCTGAATAATAAAGTTATTCAGTATTAAGTTGCTTTATTAAATCTTTTGTGTGTTTTTTGTGTATGTTGAGATTAAGTCAAAGATAACAGGTTGTGTGTATAGTATCACCCAATAAATCACTAAATGTAATTTCATTGTTCAAATGATGAGTTTTTAGCTTATGTCTATATGTTTCATCCATTACTTACATTCAATAATTTAATAACAAACATTTCCCTAAATAAAATTATAAACTTAAAATAAATAATAAAAAATTTACCACGTGCATTGCACGTGCAATCCAACTAGTATTAAAAAAGTAATTAAGTACATTAGTATCCTTCCCATGTGATTTCCCATGAGTATTGTTAGTAAGTTATTTTCTATAAAGTGGCATCCAACCAAACAAAAGGAAAAAAAATATTTTCTATAAAGTTATAAACTTTTTCATACTTTGAACCAAACAAAGAAATAGCAAAAAACAAGAAATATGGTATTCTTTTTAAGTTGTATAAAATTTTCCTACGAATTTTATAGAAATACAAGGAAATCAAATTTTGAGTACTTTTCTTTTCCTTTTTTTATAGAAATTGAACCAAACAGCCACTTAT